TTCCATGTTCAAAGTAGGGTAAAAGGTAGGATCTCCGATCTGCATGGATGAATTTAGAGTGTTCACACAAACGACCAGTTTACAAAGGAAAAGGCTAAGCAGTGGACAGAGCTCTCATCCGCACCCAGGACCTTCCAGGCAATTGCTTGTTCATATGAAACATGGCGCCCCATTGTTGACATGCATATTCCAGCAGGTAAATATGCATATCCCTGTTTAAGAAATGCAGAACTTTCATCTTATTATGAATCACAAGCAAGCTGGGGGAATTCATTCCCCGAACAAAACATTGGACTTTCATGACAAGAAACAAGAGCCAGTTTTATGAAAGACTTGCCTGCTCCATTAGCTTGGCAAAGTCAGCGCATAATGCCTTACGTCCAGATTCATCAAATATCTTATCCAGGGTGATGTCTTGTAGTGCCACTAGAGTAGTCTCCAGCATGTCAAGGCCAGCCTGATTTGCAAAGATGAAAACTGGTAGTGACTGCAAAAAAACCCAACCAAAGCATTAGCTAATAATGAATTACTTTATCATGAGATCACCGGGCAATAGATAGATTTGAGAATACACCTTTATTGAACAGCACAATACAGCATCCTGATGATGCCATAGATTTTTCAATATAGAGTCACTATCCAGGGAATCAGATCTCATAAATTCTACTCCTAAATGGTAACTGCAGAAAATGAAATGCAAAAGGGACTGTCAACAACTAGTAAGAATGTAGGAAAACAAGCTGGTTCTTTAAAAAAATGAGAAAATGTTCTTGCCTATAGCTTTGGCAGATCCAATGAGCAAGTGTAACAGCTTCTGGAGAACCTGGCAATAGCTTAGGTCCAACAGCTGGGCTCAATCCTGAAGGAGATATGGCCATGGCAACCCTCTGGACAGAAGAGATCACACTCCGGACATACTGCCGTGCCATGGTTGCAACATTCTCCTGAAGATTGCTATCAAAGGGAAATTGGAAAGCTATTGTCAACACTGATCGCATGTTCTGACAGGTTGACGCTTCTCCTGTCGTATTGCTTGGTGCTGGGCCAACTTCAAGACTGGATGTCAGATCCAGGGTGCGATTAGTAGTCAATGAGCCCCGTATGTCAGACTGATGATAACAGATTAGTATCTTAGAGAAGAAATTAGTATAATATGAGTTACTTGGGAACTAAAATGAGGAAGATTAGCATGAAAGAACCTAACTGTTTTTGATTCCAAAGGGATAACACGAAACCCAGAAGGTAGCAATGTGGCATCATCCGGAAACATCTCATCAATTGGAGCAAAAACAAGTTCAGAACAAGTTCCCACAGCATTCTCATCAATTCCACTACATATCTGCAAAATATTGTATTCATTTTCATTTATCTTAAAGACTTATTGAAGATTGGTTTACACCAAGACACGAGCGCATGGAAAGAATTAACATATTACAATTATCTCAACTAATATTAAGATATTAGAAAAAGAAAAATATAAAAAGACACCTGCAAGAGATGGATGTCCCTCGATGCAAAAGCATCTTCTTGTGCAAGAGAATGGCCTTCCAGCCGAACAACTTCCAGCAACTGGCATGCAAATAGAAGTAGGAAATTATGAAGAATAGCATACACTTGTGCAAGTCCTTTTGCTTACATGTAAGATACTGTGAATTTATGTTGCTGAAAGAAGAGTTGATGGGATATAAAAGAATACCTCTTCCTGTTCAATTGTGTGACCCAGGGGCATAATAATTTGACTCCCAGTAAACCTTGTTGGCCTCATTCCAGGATATGCATATGTTCCAGCTTTCAATGACGCAGCAGAAAATGCATCAACATTGAAATCAGCCCACTCAGAACGGTGCTCCCTCAGAAAACGAACAAGAACAGCAGGGGGAACATTCTGACATTTGAAAGAAGGATACAAACAATCAACTGTCATTTCAATCAGCAAATTGTAAATGAAGCTTGTTACTTACTTGAAGCAGCATTGAAGCCTTTGCACACAAAACACCTCCAAGAACTGATAGAGAATTGGCAGGATTCAAAGTGCTGCTCAAGGTCTTACTTGAATTAACTGCAATTATTACATCTTCGGCACCATCACAGTTCATTATTGACCATCCATCATCATTAAATCCATTAACAGCATCATTGAACCCTCTACAAGAAAATGGTACAAGAAAATATTATAGAGCCTACAATAAAAAAATTACTAACATAATGAACATGAAATGAAGGTAGCGAGTAATGATGATAAAGAAATGAAATTACAAAAATCATCATACAGCTACCTGCTCAATCTTTGGCTAAAAGTTCTCAAAACGGCGGGCTGCCTGCCTAAACTGTAAACAACTTCACCACTTGTCTCCTGAGCTATTTGCCTTATGTAGCGTAATGCCTTTGCAGAAATTATCAAATTGCTAAATCAGTATTTTTTTTTATAATTATTATTGAAAAAACCAAGAAGATTTTTTGACACATGGTGGTTAAAGTTCCAATATTAAATACACCATAATTTACTTACTGCAATTGTCATCTTCTGGGCCACAACTTTTGATGATTCATAAAGTGGACGCAGGACCTCTGGAACACTCCATGCCTGAAACAAGACACAAGAATTTAAGCCTCACTACATGAGATATTTAAAAGTTAATTGTCAAGATTCCTACCTCAAGATTCAGGTGGTCAACAATATGAATGATTGAGCCTCCACCCTCACAAGGCCGAATCAAGTACCCACCGGGGAGCATTTCGGCTCTCACAAATTGTGAAGCAGCTGCTGGGCTTGGACCAGCACCAGAACCGGAAAGAGACCTCTCACAGACCTTAGAAAAAAACAACAAAGAGACATGAATGTAATGCCTATTATCGTATCTTTTAATCTGCATCATCTCTAACTAGGAAATGAGCAGATGACAGCAATGCAGTGGACCACAGAATTCATACCACAAGACTGCCATTGTCTAAAGTTGTAGTGTATCTTAGAGTCCAGAAATCCCGTGCAGGGGCCAATGTCGTTGGAGCATATGTCTGAATCAAATTAAAATTCAGCCAGTCCTCAAGACAAGAACAGACATTGTACTTGAATAGAAAGCCCACTTCACATGTACAATCTAGCTCACCTGTGTGTACAAAAGTTCAATGGTTCCACCATTTCCAGAAGGAAACATGGTGAAAACTTCAAGGTTTCGACAGTCCCGGAACCAAGATGGACGATCTTTAAGGATCTCTGCAATCTGTTGCCAATTGTTTAAATGCAACATCAGAGTTATATTCCCCATCTTCTATAAAAAGCTTCAGTTTTTTGTTTTTATCTTTCTGGTGGGGGCACCATAATGCATACCTTTGTAGGTTCTAAACTTACGAGACCACAAGCTCGAGCAGCCACTCCACTGCAACTCTGTGAAATGGCAAAGATTCCAACAGAATCCGGACCAGGCTGACAACAAGATCAGACAATTTGGTTCACATAAATTTTTAATTTATGAAGCAAGGAAAAGATTACATCACAAGATGCATAGAAAAGATCTGCTAGCCAAATCAGAAAACAAATAAACGTTCACGCAAGACATTGAAAGAACCTTCATCCCAGGCATCTGGACCCAATCAACAGCAGTTCCCGTAGCCTTTGAAAGGAACTGTGTCAAGGTCTCCTCAGCAATAGAGAGGAGTCTGCAAAAGCATAACAACCCAAAAAAAAAGAACAAGAAAAAAAAAGAGGATGTTAGAAAGACATGGAAAGACTATCATTATTGGCAACCCAAAAAAAAACTTAAGAAAAAAAAAAAAAAAAACCACTTGCCCTGCAGGGTTATTAGCATCTTTCAATGAATGCTGAGGAGTGGTCACCACAGAGTCACAGCTTGCATCTGTTGCAGCCGATGCCTGCAACATATATCCATTAATAAATTAGCAAAATGTCAAAATACTAAAGTAAATGCGAACTAAATAATTCTGCATTGCAGTGGGCTGATATAACTCTCTTATAGGCAGGAAACTGTAGGTAGTATTAATATCCATGCAATTTTGTTCGGTGCATTATTGTACATATCAATTCAAGAACCACCACGAACAATAAGGATGCAAAATTCGAATCCCAGATGGGCCTATATATGTCGCATATCAAAACAAGTTCTCAGAGTTTAACATATCCCACTAAAAAGAATATTCTGCATTTTGATACGAAACGAAATAAGATTAACAAGCAGAAGAAGATACATTTACTGTTTGCAATTGTTGCCTCATATACCCATTCTCACAAACCAGCTGAGACACCTGTTTCTGCAGTCGGTCATTCTCCTCCATCAAGAGTTTGTTCATAGCCGACAATTTTCTGTTCACAGTCTGCAGCCTTGAAGACTCTTTCCTTTGCTTCTCTCTACATCTGCATACCCAATAATACTTCATCCTTCAGAATCCCATAAAACCCCTCCATACAGACATCCAATTTTTTCATTCCAACACCATCAGCCATCTAAAATACTACTATATGATCTATTATCCAAAACAACATACATGAAAATGCCATAGAACATATTAAGACAAGAATAAGCTCAAGATAATAGAACTTAAACAAAATGGACAATTTTTTTTTTTTTAAAAAAAAAGATGGTATATTTTTTCCATTTTACCTGCGATTTTGAAACCAAACTTTGATCTGTTTAGGCTCTATGTTGGCAAGAATGGGGCACTCCCTTATCAACTGCTGCCTACGCAAAGAACTAGGCTTTGGGCACTCAGCATAAACTCTCTCAAGGGCATCTACTTGCTCCGCCGTGTATCTCACATATTTGCCACTATCAAGAAGCTTGTTCATGCTGCTACCACTGCTGCTCTCCCTGTGCTGCGCCACCGCCATGGCCATTTTTACAAAGACCCAAAAGCCAAAAAACCAAACTTTATTTAGGGAAAGGTATACGGTATGCGTAGAAGCTGTGAGCCTGGCTGTAAGATAGCTGGTTGTTTTGGGGTCTTGGCTTGAGAGTCAAGATTCTTCAGCTAGCTCTTTTAGAAAAATCCGTCCTTTTGTGAGGTATGTATACAGGAGAGAGAACGGAACTCAGGGGGTTTTTCGATTAGAACCCCAGGTATAAAGCCAAGGATGCTGGCGCTTTTCTGGATTTTGTCTTCTCTACCCTCAAGATGAACAACGTGGTCTAAACAACTCTGCTTCCGTCCAAATCAATGCTCTCACTCCAAAAATAAAATAAAAATCCAAACTTTGTAACGTTCTTCCACAACCCAGATCAATACTGGTCCTCAAGAAATCCCGAAACAAACAACACCCACAATTCCGTTTTTCTTGCTGTCACTTGAGTACCAACTAAGAAAGAAAATTATCTGCTCTCTTAGGAAAGAGAGCCAATAGTTTTAGCATCAGAAAGCTGCAGTTCTGGAAGAACCAAGAGAAATGTAAAAAGAAAATATAACCCTAACCATGGCTCTAGACTTCTAGTTTCCTCCACTTTCCAGATTTTACAGTACACAACAGAAATAAAGGAACGATTTTTAAAGGGTTTTCCGAGAAAATTATCAAAACCCACCAAAAAGAAAGGATTGTCAAAGATGAAGGACGAACAAGGGGAGGAAAAAGGAGTGACAATGAGTGATCTAAACTCTGAACATGAATATGTATATGAATACTGTGTGGGGGGGATGGTAATGGGGAATAGAAGAGAGAGAAGATGGTCATTTGCACGCATTCCGACAAACTTAGCAGAGTGGTTTCTTTATATTTCGGCTCATTTACGTCGCTGTCCCTATTTCTTCCGTGAAATGACATGGTAGACCCAAGAGGCCAAATCTCCATTAAAGTCCCTTCTCTTTTTCTCTCTGACATAATCTTTCACCCTTCAAAACTAAATCTTTCTGGTTCAAGTAACCCAATTTAACCGATCTGCCCCTTCAACTGTTCCGTTTCTGTATTGGGTTTATTTATTTTTTTAAACATCTAATTATAATAGTTTATATTAAAAATAATATTTTTTTAATTTTTTTTTCACTTAAATTACAATTTTTAATATAAAATTTCAAAAATTTTAATCAGTAAGCTACCGAATTACGGATGGAATCAGTGAAATTCTTTTGTTTTCTTA